TGTTCACATAATTAGTATTTTTCTGTACAGTGAATGGCACGTAGTGCCCTATATAGGGGACAGGGAATGATGTAGACATGGTGTTAAAGGGTTAGTTTACCCAAAAATTTAAATTAGCCCATGTATTACTCACTCTCAATGCATCCTAGGTGTATATGCCTTTCTTCTTCAGACGAATCCAATTGGAGTTATATTAAAAATTGTCCTGGCTCTTCCAAGCTTTATAATGGCATGGGTGGGTGTTTTTGTTCAACAGTCCAAAAGAAGTCAAATAAAGCGAATCCATCCATATTAAAACGTGCCTCACACGGCTCCGGGGGGTGAATAAAGGCCTCCTGTAGCGAACCCATGCATTTTTGTAAAAAAAAATAAAAATAAAAAATCCATATTTAAAACATATTTAAACAGTTTTGTGTAACTTCTACTAACTGTTGTACGCACGTTGTTATGAAGGGAATGGGCCATTAGGGAGCGATACTAACTGTTCCTTTAAATATCTGCCACCTCACTTCCTCTCTGAGCACATGGCAATGGTGGAAGCCATTTAAAGGAGAGTTGAGGCCTAGACAGCAGTGATGGCCATGACTGGTTTATTTGTTATGTGGACTATGTGCGTGCATCAAGTGTAAGTTGTCACTTTGTATTTAACATGAGGAGATATATTGTTTGTGCAAGATGAATTGTTTGTACAGATTGTTGGTTGAGGAACTTTAATCTTTATATCCATGGATACTGTTTGTTGTATGTTTGAATATTGGGTCATTTGATGTCGTTGAAACCTTGGTAATTTATGATATTTGTTTAATAAGAGGAGTTTGTGGTTCCATGAGCAGCAATATATTAGTGTTTGATGAATTAGATTTGTAACTGATGTCAATGTTGTTGTTGTTATTCCTTCTTTACAGTAAACACACCTTGATCCACATGTTGAGCCATCAATAAAGTTATTAATGTAACTTTGTGCATTCTCATCGATGCCCTACAACGATTATAATTTTACCCAGCTTCCATGAAACATTCTAAACACACATTTACTTAGGACGTATGTACAGCGCATGCGTGTGTGAGTCTCGCGACAACCAATGTTTGTTTACAAAAGCAAAGGAAGCAAAGTTTCGATTTTTTACATTTTAATAAAGTGATAAAGACTTTATGACAAGTTCCGCCTGCTGTGGGATCTCTATCGGAAAAAAAGATATACGCTGATAAAACTAGCTATTATTCACGTCATGATGGAAGCCGCAAATAACGTAAGTAAGGACATTTACTGGGCCGCTGTGCCAATGATATTTATTATAAACACTGCTTGTTTGTCTTGAAGTTGTAACTCTCTATTAGTGCTATTGGATCTTAGATATTTATTTTAAACACTGTTTGTTTGTCTTGAAGTGTCTGTCGCTAATTTGCTGTGAGCTCTGTCATGGTGTATTGTCTTAAACACATTACATTTGTTGGTTTTGTGTGGTAGGAGGGATTGAGTGTCTGTATATTTTGTGTGATGATGCATTTGTAATGAGGCTTTGCATTTGCAGACTTAAATTTAGCTGTTTTATTTTGGTAATATCAGTCACTCTCGCTGTACTGTTTTGTTGCGGTCGCACACCGGACGAGAAGCGCAGTGCCCCAGTGCAACACGTATCGCACACCGTTCAAGACGGCAGTCCAAAACATTTAATCTATTCCCAAAACAGTCAAAACTTAACTTCAAGAATGAGCAAGTGCTGTCAGAGTTTAGAGTTCGGGGATCGAAAACAGCAAATGGGATGAGAATTTGCGATCTGTAGCTCACTAACGTTAAATGAATCACAAAATTTTTTAGAACCACAGAAAGACAAATGTTTTGCTGAAAAAATGCACAATACACAATCGTCCAGCCTAGGATGAAGTCATTATGTACATTAACAATGATTTGGGACAAATATAATGTAATTTAATGGAAAATGATGTGAGTGGCGCTGTGGCGCGGCAGGATTATGAACAGCGCCCGGAGTCGCAGCTGGGATCCGTGGACAGTCGCCGGTGGTGCCGCCAGTCGGTCTTCGTGCACGCAAAGAAAACAATGTGTGCGACTATTAAAGACGTGGTGTGGTGTAATGCAGTGCTGCACTTGTCCTCCGGTGTGCGACCACATTAAGGCTGGAATAGCCTTTTGTTTCAAAAGTGGAATTGTCAAAGATGACTTTTAGAAGAAGACACCGTAAGTTAGGCTGGTATTTTGTAATTTCCCCCAACGAGGGTAGGGGGAGAGGGCCTAGGTTCTAGAGTCACGGTTCGCTACTGAGTTACAGTATACAATTGGTAATAAATATGCCCAAAAAACATGGTTACAACTAGGGGTTGCACCGACTAGTCGACTTCAATGCTCTGCCATGACGCTTTAAGCTTGACGTCGACTAGTCGCCGGTCCTATAGAGGGCGCAACAGGATAAGAAATCTTTGAAGGACTTCCACATTTACGCTCCGTTTCCAAACAGTTAAAATGACAATTAAGTGCATACTCTGAAAGTGCTCCACAAGACGTGTGATTATATTACTGGATGCTCAAAATTGAACGGGAGAATGCACGTTTTAAACAGCATATTGTACATTTCTCAGTAAAATAGCTTAGAAACTGAAAAGTTCAAGCATATATTTCTTAAGAACTAAATCCCACAGCTTCAGTAGAGAGACGGTGCCAGGTAGAATTAATTCACACACGCAATCGCTCTCACTAATGCATTCATATGAATGTAATCTTTTCTGTGCTACTTTATCTGTATCTGATTTAGAACAAGCAGAAATCCGTGAGAAATATAACGACCCAAAGACAAAAGAACTGACAAAAATTAGCTGTTATAGGAGCAATAGCCATGTGGGCAGCACTGTGTCATATGCCATAGCTGTGCACAAGGTGTTTGTCACAGCTCCAGACTTATTTGTTCATTAATGACGTCATCAGCGACTAGTCGACTTCGACTCGACTTTCATCACATAAAAGTCGACTTCAAAAAATAAGAAGTCGTTCAACCCCTAGTTACTACACTTTTACTATAGTAACCATTGTTCATTGTTCATTTTTGTAAAGGATTGTCTACAATAGAATTAAATAAATGTTTTAATAGGTTATAACATTTACATCACAAAATATTAGGGAGCGACATTTATTTAGTTCATTGTGATATGAAGCCATTGGGGGTTACTGAAAAGCCCCATCAAACCTGGGTTGCGGTGCAGGGGGACGGGACTGTAATGACAGGTCTGCATGGCAGGGTAAGTGGTGTAGCCTATCTGGAGTGCATATGAATATGAATATTAAGCTTGATATGTTTCATGCATTATATTTCCAAAACACGTGCAATTGATAAGCTTTCGTGACGACGTGCAGCAGTGGATTGTCCTGAGCATCTTTCATGCTGGCCTCGGGCAGTCGGTTGAAATCGCTGTGGGCCCCCCACAGCCTTGGGCCCCTATAACCATCACCACCTTTCAACCCACTCACGACGGCCCTGCCTAGTTAATATCACACAAGTGCTGTTTTTACGAATATCAGCATGATTGCAAATGTATTGATATTGATTTTATAAAACAGTTCAACAAACAAGTAAATACTGAGTTACACTTTAGACACAATATTGTCTGGTTTTACTCTGTTTCACAGTCAATATAGTTCCAAAACACACAGCAATGTGGTCTTCGCTGAATGAAGCAGCCTTTTTGAACGAATCGTGTGAGTCAATGAGTCACTGGCCCATTCATCAACCACTTGCTTCATTCCTGAATCAAGTAGCTTTTTTAAATTATTTTTTTTCATGAATGATTCAAAGACTTATTCATTCATTAATTAACTTTAAACTGCCGCTTCCAGCTCAAATATGAGTCCAATATCCATAATAATGCTTCATCCAATGAAAAAAGTCCGTCTCCTGTTGTCTCTCACATCAAAATCAACCACATATTTGTTTTGAACTGTTTTGGCTTGTAGGAGGTGCTTGATCTGTGCAGATTTCTCTCCTGATTCAGACCAGACCACTTTTTCACTGGAGGAAGTGTTATTATAGATTACAGACTTGTATTTTAGTTCAAAACATCTTAATAATGGATTTGTTTTTTCAAACATGCAGGTTTTGTTTTCTCAAGATGTTAACTGATGGACTGGAGTGGTGTGAATTGTGGATTATTGTGAGTTTTCTCAACAGTTTGGACTCATTCTGACGGCACCCATTCACTGCAGAGGATCCATTGCTGATGCTACATTTCTCAACTAAATGTCATTTTTGGGTGATCTGTTCCTTTAAGATGTAGCTTCTGTGTTTCCTCTGCAGTGCAAAGATGGATTTTGTTGATACTGATTTCATTTGGTTGGTAACAGCGACGGTCCCTTACTGTCTTGTTATTCTAAATTTATTTATTGATTAAATCTAAGACATTGCGATAAATTATGATGAATATATCATGGATATCTAATCCAACACTCATCCAGCATTTCACTGTTTTGCTGTTTGCTATTCATTTAGTTTTCATACAGGGAATGAATTTGTTATCAAATGTAAAATCAGCAAAATCTTGTTCATTTTCATGACTTCCTCTGATAAATCAAACTGTGATGCAGGTCGAATCCTGTTGAGGGAGGATTCAACCAGATACATATCAGTTCTTCAGTCGTGTTTCAGAGTGTTTTCAGACATTAAGCATCACTATCGTGAACCGATGAAGAAAATGCTTCTCAAAGTAGTTTTGTTCTGGTTGTGTTTGTGGCGTCTGGTTGGTGAGTTTTACTTCACATTTAAATGATTACAAGTATTTTAATGAAGCTTCATCAAACTGACATCAAGTGATTTTGATCTGTGATAAACTGTTCTTCAGGACTGTTTTGTAGTTCTACCAGTCCGGTGTCATTGCTGGTGATAGAAGGAGAGTCTGTCACTCTAAACACTGGTCTTACTCAGATAAAGCAGGTTGGCAGGATTCAGTGGTGGCTTGAGAATTATAAGATCGTTGATACCAATGTAACGACCGGCAGCATGACTGTATTTGATGATGTTCTTGATGGGAGATTCAGAGACAGACTGAAGCTGGACAATCAAACCGGATCTCTGACCATCACAGACATCACAACTGAACATGCTGGAGATTATACAGTAAAAACCAACCGACCAATGATATTAGCAACATTCATTCTCAAAGTCATTGGTGAGTTACATTTATTTCACCTGCTTACATTTTAGAGTAAAATTTATGTCAAGCTTATTACTTTTGAAAACAAAGTTATTCAAAAGTCTTAATCTGTGACAAACCCTGTTTCAGAGTGTGAAGAAATATCAGTGATGGAGGGAGACTCTGTTACTCTAAACACTGATCTTACTGAAATAAGTGAAAATGACACACTGTGGTGGGGGTATGAAACTGAAATGACTTTAACACCTATAATCAATAGAGATGATCCAGTATCTATAATCTTATTTTATGGTGCGCTTGAGATATTCAAAGACAGACTGAAGCTGGACAATCAAACTGGATCTCTGACCATCACAAACATCACAATAAAACACGCTGGACATTATAAACTAATGATAACTGGAGGAAAACTGTCATTAAAAGCATTCAGAGTTTCTGTCTATGGTGAGTAGAGATCATTTGTCCTGTCCTTTAAATAAAATCATTTTACAAGACAGACTGAAGCTGGACAATCAAACTGGATCTCTGACCATCACAAACATCACAATAAAACACGCTGGACATTATAAACTAATGATAACTGGAGGAAAACTGTCATTAAAAGCATTCAGAGTTTCTGTCTATGGTGAGTAGAGATCATTTGTCCTGTCCTTTAAATAAAATCATTTTACAGTTTGAAATTACAGACTGTTGAACACTTTGAACCGAAAATAAGACTGTTGATTACATTTGGTCATATTTCTTATGTTTTCAGCTCGTCTGCCGGTTCCTGTCATCAGCAGTAACTCTTCAAACTGTTCATCTTCATCATCACAGCAGAATTGTTCACTGGTGTGTTCAGTGTTGAATGTGGGTCATGTGACTCTCTCCTGGTACAAAGGAAACAGTTTATTGTCCAGCATCAGTGTGTCTGATCTCAGCATCAGTCTCTCTCTACCTCTGGAGGTGGAATATCAGGATAAAAACAGCTACAGCTGTGTGCTCAACAATCCCATCAGCAAGCAGACTCAACATCTGGACATCAGTCAACTCTGTCACACATGTTCAGGTACAGCAGCGCTGATATTAGAGCTGATATTAGTGTTTATTGACTGAGCTGATCTCAGTTTGATGTGTTTATTCCTCAGACTCTGTCCACTGCTGTGGTTCTACTGAAGCTGTGATCCGATTGGTCCTCTCTGCTCTGGTGGGCGTGGCTACTGTCGTTATTCTAGTTTATGACATCAGATCCAGAAGAGCTGAACAGGATCGAGCACAGATTCACACATCAGGTATGTAATTGTGGTCATTTTTCATATAACTGTTTTTTTAAATAGAATTCATTAATCTTCATTTATTTCTAATGGCTTTATATATTAATATGCTGGTGTTTATGTTGTTTATAGGTGGCTCATTTACACCCTAGAAGATGATTTGAGAACAAACCATAACAAATTCTCACATCGATGCTCAAAATGTTAGTGTTTGTCATGATAAATACTGAAGATGACCAAATATTGCTTTGCTAACGCTAGATTATTTATTATAACATGTTTTTATCCTGTTTGAAAGGCTTTGTTTATATTTTCTTCCGATAAGACACAGTTTCACTTGACGGCTGTGTATGTGCCATCTGTATTTGTTTGCATTTATCTATAAAGTTTTCTCACTCTAAGCTTCAAGAGTCTCTCCTTGTTTTATTACATTTATTATGTCGAGCGCCTCCTGGAGGAGTACAAACAAAGTATATTATAAGTTCAGCAGAGCACCACATACAGTATACTGTAAAGCTTACTTTAGCCTATTTTAAATGTTATTTGTAAATGTTTACATTATTATTAAGTTAATTCATATACCGCTAAAAACAGTGGGGGGTTTTTTCAGATTTTTAAAAAATTATTATTAAATAGGCCTAGTTCGTTTTATATATCTGCAAGCTATTTTTTTTAATTAATCTGATAACGTAGGCTACAATACTGTAATAAAGCAAAAGTCGTTACAGTTGAGTGAACGGGATTGAGACTGCAGCTATGATTTTTGCGTTCCCATTTGTTCAAACAGCGTTCCTATGAGACGGATAACTTGACTAGCAGCGGACCGATCTCGTTCACAGCATCTATATGTTGTTCTGGTCGTTCTGAAATGCCTGAGGAAAGTCTGTCGTCAAAGTATTTCTGTATAATTGTCTTACATGACTGCGTTGCCAAACAGCAGCATCCACCTCCGAAAGCATTGACAGCATTTATTGTGTTACGTCTGCTCGCTCTGAGGTGCTAGTAATTTATATCATATATATGAAAATTATTATATTCAGTGGCTTTTCCTATATTCTTAGAGCTATTTAGTGCCACAGTTTATCAGGAAGTGACGATTTTGTTCTCTTTGACTCGTTGGCTGGAAACGGTGCTTTATTCGCATATGTTTTATTTGATATTCCAGTTTTGTGCATAAGTTTAATTCAAATCTTTGGATGGAAACATAGCTACTGATAAATGCAATAAGGGATATACTTAGCCTAGTGTGGGTTAGTGTGGGTTTAGTGTGTGTTAAGGGCACTGAGCTTTGCCGCTTTTCAGACCTGGGACGGTCTTGTGCACTTACTTCCTGTCGTGTGCACGCGCCCTCAAGACCGCAAGTGTGGGTATTTGGACAGACCCTAACCTCGTTCTAATGTTAGTGAATTCAGAATATACTAAACTAGTGTCTGTGTGTACTCAAGGCTAGTCATTTGCATAAAACACATGATCAAAGCTGAACATGTTGTGTTCTGATATATTTATATCTAATGTGTCTTGTCTTGAGAAACAGCTCTTACATCAGCATGCTTATTATTAGATGAATGCGGTCAGTGTATCTGTCAGTAGTTTGTAGGCCTAATTTTCTCTCCTGTTTAAATGAACTAAACATTCTGAGTTCCACTCCATGCAAAACATCATCTGAAAATATGAGAGAACACTCTACACACAGTTATAACAAGTGATCTGTTCATGATTCATAAAGCCATTAGAGAAACTCTGAAATCAGCCTGAGCAAACATTTTAGATATAACAACAAGACGGTTCATTCATAATATTATTTAAAAAAAATAATCAATAATAACTCACATCACTCATGAAGGTATCCATTATCACCGCGCGTGTGCATTAACTCCGCACACCCTGCTTCTGATGACGTCGCTCGTGATTTTTTTTTTTCCACCTTATTTCAAATTACCGACTCATACTTTTCTCATCCTAATTTTACAAGTTGAAAGTTACAAAACAACACACGCACAGCGCTGACTGACTCTGATAACGGCCGGGTGTTCTCCGAGTCCGATCGACTCGGGTATTACACACAATGTTAAACA